GGTAGTGGAGGCCCCATCCCTGGAAACATTCAAGACCAGGTTGGACAGGGCTCTGAGCAACCTGATCTAGTTAGTGGTGTCCCTGCTTGCTGCAGGGGGGTTGGACCAAATGACCTCTAGGGGTCCCTTCCAACCCAAAACTTTCTATGATTCTATGATTCTATGACATAAGAACAAATCCTCAGGGAAGTTATTTCCAGGAAGGACAGGAAGTGAACAGGAATAGCCAGCACAGATTTATCACAGGCAGATCACATATGACCAGTCTGATTGCCTTCTGTGATGAGATGACTGGCTCTGTGGATGAGAGGAGAGCAGCGGATGTCGTTTGCCTTGACTTTATTAAGACTGTCCTCACAGTCTCCCATGCAGGGCGGCACTGACACTCAGAGGAACCCCCACAAACACAGAAAATGGGCCAACAGAAACCACACAAAGTTCAGATGGGAAGTTCTAAACCTGGCACAAAAAACCCTCATGAACCAGGACAGGTTTGGCACCAATTATCTGGACAGCAGCTCCAATGAAAAGGACCTGGGGTTCTTGGTGGGTGACAAGTTGAACACGAGCCAGTAGCATGTCCTTGCAGTAACAAAGGCTAGTTGCACAGTGGGCTGCACTAGCAAAAGCAGAGGCAAAAGCAAAGCAGGTCAAGGAAGATTATTATTTCACTTTACTTGGCACTCTTGAGGACACACCTGGAATAGTGGCCGCACTCTACTGGGCCCCCCAGTAGAAGACAGCTATTGACGAAGTGAAGGGATAGAGACTGTTCAGCTGGGGACAATTAGGTCAATGGAATGTATGACACACAAAGACAGGCAAAGAGATGGGTTTGTTTAGGCTAAAGGAAGGGAAATCTAACTTCTGTCTTCCACTACGTAAAGGAAGGGAAGACAGAGCCAGACTCTTAGAGTTGCACAGAAAAAGGACGACAGGCAGCAGTAAAGAGCTGCAACAAAAAAAAAGCTGGCTGTAACGGAAGAATTCATCACAAGGCAAGTCATGCAGCACCAGGACAGGGACTAAGTGAGATGGTGGGATTTCGATCCTTGGAGACCTCCAGAACTGGATACAGCCCTGAGCAGCTGGATCCCATTTTGAGGCTGGCCCCCGTCCAAGTAGGCTATAGGATTAGATGACCTGTATCTTTCCTGTGACTCTGTGACCTGAGAAAAAAATCAAACCAAACCAAACCTTTTTACTAGATTCGTCTCTCTAGTGCTTTTTACAAAGCCATACTCCTTACCTGAAGCTTCTCTGTAACGTGGTCACTGCTTGGGGTAGTTTCTTCAGCCTTTTTCTTGTCTGAAATCCCCTCCACAGAGCCTGGATTATACAAGCTGCTTGATGCTGCCTCTGAAATTAATAAAACAGTTGGTAGTATATTTTCTCTGCATATAAAACCACTTTATTACTGCTTGCATAGTTGGAACAATCTCAACATTTGGCCAAAACCCATCAGTTTTCAAAAGCATAAAAATTCAGTATTTGTAAGAGCTTGGGAAATTTAAGGTCCTGTAAAGTGGTTACTATCACAAAATCTGTACTTGCTTCAAAGCCAGCTAATCTGATCACTTGGATCGATGCTCTCTGTTATAAACAAATGAATCTACAGCACAAAGATAAAATATGCATTAGCTGCATTTATTAATTTTAGAAATTTGAATTTAAAACATCTGAAGCACTTAAAACATCTGAAGCACTTGATATTTCAAAAGGTAATTCAATCAAAACAGAATAAACGCTAGAGAGGACAGAAAGACAACTTCGGAGAATTAGCAGAAGAAAAAAATGTTACATTTGCAGTATGATCAAAAATCACTGAAATGCAACACATTCTTTTTTCTTTTTAAAAATTTAATAAATAGGAAACTTAAAAATCCATTAATATTGTGAAAAAATAACATAGGCTTTGAAAAGCATCACCAAAGTGATAGTAAATCCATTCTAGACATATATAAATCTCATGTAACTAGGATTTCACATACAAAAGTCTCATTAAACTTCAGTACCTGCACTTCTCCTTTTCCGTTGGATTGTTCCAAGTACAGTGCGTCCAAGAGTTGATTGAGAGCCCTGTCAAATCCTTTGCCAGTCCACTGTTTATTTAAAAGCCCTTTTAATCCTAAAAGAGAGAGAAGCAGCATGCAACGCCGCTATGACAAATTCTTCTTTTCAGGATTTCAGACTAACAATTTGAGTCAAAAAATCAAATCTGATTCTGTGTGCAAACGAACACTAGATTGGAGCTGAACGCCTTCAGGCATCTTTCAGTTTCAGTGCAGAATATTATCAATGACTATCTGGTGCTCCAACCACCACAGAAGTATTATACAGCGATCATAACTTTGTATGTCCAAGTCACTATCTATTGTGTCTACATAACTGGCAGTTAAATTATCAATGTACTTTCAGTGTCTTATCAGCAAGTCATTGTAAGGTACTAAAAGGATGTAAAGCACTACGCAAGTGCTAGGTTTTATTAGCACTGCTTTCATATTTTTTGTAATAAAATTTATTTATTTATAACTGGAATTCTTTGATCTCTTATCTGTACAGCACAGTCTAACTGTGAGTACATGCACATACAATCCCTGAGACAAAACAGCTTTCTAGGTTCGCTGTAGCTAAAAAGCATGCTTGTGCTTCCCCCCACAACACACACCCCCTGTGCTGCGAACAGGACACAGACAGACAATAGCACGCTTTTTAGCTTTGTATCAGGCAAATCCCAGAGCTTGAAAGTTTTGCAGGGAGCTGGAGGGAAAAGGAAGGAGGGCAGGAAGAAGACGTGTTTGGATAGCCTCCTGAAGAACTACAGATTCAAGTAACTTATCTGTCTTCAAATCATTGTCCATAAGCATATTCACACACTAGGCAACTCCAAGGAATCCATCATACTTACTTACAGGATCTGGATATGGAGTACAAAGTCCTTCATGCAACAGAAACAGCACATCTGTTCTATCACACATGCACCATTTTGCAACGACGGTGATGGTTAAGCACTTGAGGAGACAGGTGAGACTCCAAATGGAGCCAGTGGGTGCCCTGAAGCTGCCTGAGCTCTGCAAAAGCATGTAGCCTGGCTACACAAGGCAGTTCCCTCACAGCGGTCCTGTGGGTCTGATGCAACCATTCACCAGTTTCTGTACAGACTACACAGCCAGAGGCACCCTTCAGCTGCTGACAGGGAGTACACCTCAAGCCCCTCAGATGTGTCAACCCACGCACAGGAAAAAAACTGGCCCTCCTGGAAACCTGAGGTAAAGACTGTGGCAGTCTTGGAGATGTGAGGTTCAGGTGATGTCCTCACCTCCGGCAGGCTGCCTTTACTGGCAGAAAGCTTACACTGAAATACCTCATACTGGCAACGGCTCTGAGCCACTTGAAGGCAAGATACTTCAATGAGATGGCCAGATGGTGGAAATGCTGTAATGCTTTCTTTGTTGCTGCTGTTCCTCAAACTGTTTAAAGGATTCCAAAGCTGGGGTGAAAACTAACATACGGACTCTAACTTTAAAAAAAAAAAAAGAAAAAAAAAAGAGGAAACCATGATTATTTTTTTTTTCTTAGTGGAAGCAGGAAACGTGTGCAGAAGAGAGGTGAAGAATCTCTAAGTGACTGTGGCATATTGTGATTCCAGAGCAAAATGAAGCATAGTCCTTTGAGTGAGACTTGCACCTCTTCAGACAAGCCAGCATTGCACAGCTGGGACAATCAGACCATCACAGCAGCTTCACAAGAATCCACAACATGGTACCAGCCTTAGGCATGGTATACTTCATTTTGTACCGCAGGAAGCCCTCCTTTCTCAATTCTGTAGGCAAAACGGTGGCAAAGCTGGTTCAGAAGTCTATCTTGATGGTACTGCCTAATCAGCAGTCAGCACAAGCAATAAAAAAAAGGGATTTGGACCTTTTTGTCTAGCATACCCACTTCTTGCTGTTCCTGTCCCCAAAGGACTGAGGCTGCTCACAGGCTGTTTTGACCATCAATAACATCCAGAATAAAAAAGACCTGGCAAACATCAAAGCCTTTCTTAGTCTCCATGGGCATGACAGAGGACAAAGGGGCTTCCTGGAGCTCCCTGCTAGGCTAGAGATAGAAACATTAAATGGGACACCTCATTAAATAATGAACAACATAGAGCAAATTATATGTATACTCAGCCTCCTCATCTAAAGGCATCAAGGCAAAATGATAAACTCATTCCATGAATTTTTGGAAAGAGTTCATTCCGATCACTTGGGTATCAAAAGACAGTCAGCTCCTCGGTAAGAGAGCGGCACCTATCAGATAAGAAGACCTGTAACAGCCAGGGTCAGAAGTCGGTTTTAAGTAAAACTTCCATGCTTCTGGATTAGTGAGCCTCACCACACTGAATCGTAGAATCATTTAGGTTGGACAAGACCTCTAAGATCATCAAGTCCAACCATCCACCCAACACCACCATGCCTACTAAACCATATCCCCAAGTACCACATCTACAAGTTTTTTAAACACCTCCAGGGATGGTGACTCAACCACTTCCCTGGGCACCCTGTTCCAAAGTCTGACCATTCTTTCAGTAAAGAAATTTTTCCTAATATCCAATCTAAACCTCCCCTGACGCAACTTGAGGCCATTGCCTCTCATCCTATCACTAGTTACCTGGGAGAAGAGACCAACCCCTGCCTCACTACACCCTCCTTTCAGGTAGTTGTAGAGAGCAGTAAGGTCCCCCCTCAGCCTCCTCCAGACTAAACAGCCCCAGTTTCCTCAGTCGCTCCTCATAAGACTTGTTCTCCAGACCCCTCACCAGCCTCATTGCCCTTCTCTGGACACGCTCCAGCACCTCAATGTCCTTCTTGTAGTGAGGGGCCCAAAACTGAACACAGCACTCCAGGTGCGGCCTAAATGGCAGATGTCTGACACACGGCTCTTACCGTGGCAGTACAGGCACCCTGCTGCTAGGATCTCTCCATACCCAACCTGCACAGCAAAAAAGATGCGGAACATCACATTGAAAGCAGTAACGCCCATCAGGTTGGAAACAACAGACAACACCTTTAAGAGACAAGTTGCCATATGCAGAGTCCTCAATACACAGATGAAAATAAATCTCGGAAACAGAAAGAGATGTGGCACCTTAAACTACAATGAAAATGAACAGAAGAGAAGGAAAAAACCCCACAGCACTGCAGTTTCCATTGGTGTCAGATAGTTATTGAACCAAGTCAGGAAGCCTCCATCTTTGTATTTTTAGAGTGAACGTAAGAGGAGGCTGGGCGATTGGTCCCGTGCACGTTTACAAACCTTTGTAGCGAGTCGTGAGTAACTTCACAAGCTGCTTGCAAGATTTTGCCACCAACAGTAGTAGTTTTGTTGCAGCATTTCCTATGACAGGATTGGTGGTAGATGAAAGCTTATAAACAAGTTCATCCAAAACAGAGTGAAGAGTCTCTTCCTGAATCTGAAGCAAGACAGAACTTTAAAAAGAAAAAAAAAAAAAAAAAAAAAAAAAAGGCGGCAGGGACACAGAATTGCAGTGTTAATCACAAACTATAAGCTTTTTAACAGTGACTTATTTTAGAGATGTCAGGCATTCAGCAAGCCAACACACCCAGCTAGCTGGACCAGAAATCTGATCCAGGCACTATTACTGTTTCAAGCAACTGATTCCCATTCCCTCAACTTAAAAACAAGATAAAGAAAATAGCTATTATTTCCCAGAATTCTTGTATACAAAAAAGTTCGATTTTACCAAGCAGAAATGAACTGAGTTTTAAATTTAAAATTCAGAAAGACCAATGATAGGAAAACGACTAACCTATTGACCCTCAAAATATTGTGTAAAACAGACATCATTGTAATTGCTGTGTCGACATCATCTGTTATTAACAACTGCAGGAAGTGATCATTTTGCAGTACTGCAAAAAGACAAAAACAAGGAAACAAGAAATCATGCAATCAGAACCAGACTTGAAAATACCATAAACCAAATAAACTTCATTATGGAACATAAGCCATAGCAAGTAAAACCAGATACCATTTCTGGAACAAACTCCCTCTTTTATAATTTTTACACTGAAACTTATTGGAATAAGTAAACTACTTCAACATCCAAAACACACACTGAGCCCTGTTTTTTCTGCTTCCGGATATCACTCAGGCACTGGTATTGCAATGGAATAAAAGCTTTAAAACCTTTTATGTTACACTAGTACCAGTTTCTTCTTACAACAGCAGAATTATCCCTGGGCAACAATATCCGGAAAGATAAGACTTCAACCCTGACAATTTGTTATGCCAGATTTATTTAATGCAAGCCCACTGATGTCATTAAAACACCATTTTTTTTTATTCCAGTGTATCAGTGTCTACATATTTAATAATTTTTCTGGCCGTGTGAATTTTTAGTTACACAGCTTACTATCCTTCAGTTTTTGTTCTATATTAGCAACAAAAACAAATTCTGCTTTTTAAAAATCAGTGTGATTAACATTGGTTTGATTGAAAGCTTATTTTGGTCAGAAATGTACAGTGAAGTCTGTTAGATATTTTTAAATTTTCCTGGCATAGCAAGAACTTCAAAAATCTGTTTTCAAGTCTACCCACTTTCAAGGGCCAGCAATGTACTCTGGTCAAATTTCTGCATATGTTAATCACACACATGCAAAAATATCAACTGTACCTTATCAGGAAAAAAACAAAACAAACACGATTTTTTTTTAAGGTTTAGATTTACAAAGGGAAATTACAGGAAAACACTTTTAATGTTTATCTCTGAAAGACTAGAAGGGGAACTCTTTAGTATTTCCCTTTAGCGGATCTTTTCCGTTTTAGATATTGCTGTTTCTGTTGAGTGGACTACTTTAAGAGATTGATTTAACATCTACTCCAATTTAGAAAACTAGGTGGAGATTAGCTTAGGAGTGATTCTTGATAGCTGTAGCTGCCATAAGCAAATTTTCAGGTATTTTATCAGTTTACTTTTTCCCTTACCACACGCTGCTAGTTGAACATGCCCACCGAAGAGCCAGCAGATGGCATCAGTTACCGTTTGGAACCAGCGTAAAAAATCTCGTTTTTCTGCATCCTAGACAAAAGAGAAGTAGCTAAAAGCACGTGTACATATCTTCACTAGAGGACTTCAGCTTGACGCAGTGGGGAGGTTTGTATGCTCCAGGGATTTGGAGACCAAAACTCCATCAAACTGCCAAGTGGTTGGTGAAACTGCAGGAACCAGTCAAAAAAATAACTTGCGAGTCCTTCAAGGCCAGAGATCAATCAAGAAAATCCAAACATACTAAAAAAAGCATCCAATCCTGAAAACAGCGTAACAAGGAGAGAGAAGACTTGCTTACTCCTTAAAAAATATTTGCTAGCACAGGAGGGCTAAAAAGATAAATAGTAGCTCAGTACAAATGCATCATAGATTTAATCCCCAAAGTGGGAAATACATTAGTTAAGGTTAAAGCACAAAAAAAAAAAGGGGGTAAAAAGGGGCGAAGGACACATTTCAAACAGAAAAGGTTCCTAAAAACTGGCATGGTGAGGCTTCAGAAGCACCTCCTAGTTGGAGGTCTGGGAGCAAACACCAAACCACTGTCAAGGTGAAGTCTGATCAGCTTGCCAAACAGACTGGGTTATGAGCTTGCCTGTGGTAACACTGGAGTGTAAAAAAAGACCAGGAAGAACCCAGGTTTTAACATGTGAACGCACATACACACACACAGTCTAGAGTCTGTATCCCAGGAGTGAGCCACAAGCCATTGGAAATCTAAAACCTAAAAACGCGTGTGGACAGTAAAGGGGCTTTTGATAGTACTACACTGCTGACAAACGTTGTCATAAAGCACTCGGCCTGATATCTCCCACATGACTTGAGCCTCCAACAAATGAAACTCTGGAAAGTCTTATACCTAGACCCGTGCTGTAAGTCCCAGCCGCCAGTCATGGTTTAACTCTGTATTTGGTTCTTGCTGACAATGAGAGATACAAAATCACAGTAATAAGCTGTAATATTATCTGTTCTGTGTTTTGGCAATACGTCAGTTTCTGAAAGCTATTTCAGTGCTTCCTTTGACTTCAAAGACTTGTGCAAAAAGCAAATGAGGGCAGAACAAACTACTAATCTCCACTGGTAGAGTGGGATTTCCAAAGTTCCACTGAGCAAGCACCAAGTCTGGGTGCCCAGTCACCTCTGAGACCACAAGGTTTAAAAGCCAAATTACTAATTATAATATAGACTGCATTTGCATTCAAAAGAAATCTTTACCCACAAGCATGACTCAAGTAGCATGTAGGCTGAGACATAAAAGGAAAGTGTGGGGGAAATTACATATTGTGGATCAGACTCGAGTTTCCTGGGATGTCATTCAGGAAGCTTCCTTCTTAAACACTAAATGCACTTCTAAAGTATTGAGCTAACAGAAAATATGTTGCTCTACCGATACTTTCTGAGAATTGATTGTGTTTGTGGTGCCCAGCACAATACTCCATAGCAAAACTTTAACTAAGTGCAAGAAGCCAGTGAGCCAAGAAATGAGATACTAAGGGGAAACAGGGATATTCAAAGAAACTATCAGAACCCATGAGGTTGATAATTTAAATAATTAGTGGGTTTTGTTTATTGAGTTTTTTTTCTGCTGATTCCGGAACTCTGAATGCTCCAAAAGCATGAGGGAACCTAACTGGGCAAAACCCTTGCCTGCAAAGGGAGAGAGAAATGCGAGAAAGTGTTCAAATCTACAAATTCTGCCTTTGGGGTTCCCAGCATGCAGGTTCAGAAGCAGTGAGCATTTCTGGAACTCTTTGCCAATTTCGTGGCAGAAACTGTATGGCAAAACAGAAGACAACAAGTCTGATTTCAAGTCTTCAGACTTCCTAAACCCTTTTTGTAAAGCTGAATAAAGCAGTGGGAACAGAGACGTTACAAAGACTGAACTAATTATATGCAAAGTTAAAAAGACACTACCGTGACTGGGATGCTGCCATTTGTACGGCATTTTTTTCTGTCCTACTCCTCTAATTCTTCTATCCTATTTATAATTGCATTCCTTCCCTCTGCCTTTGAAACTTGCAAAAAGCAGTAGCCAAACTCTCTAAACAAACCTAAGGTAACAAACTAGCTTTGCATATGCAATAGGCCGAATGCTCCACGATGACAGATTTCCGTTTCAAAGCTCCAAGGCATACGAAAAACTACTGTGATTTCTGGAAAACAGATTTTCATAATACACTGTCCATAGAATAATATCCTACTTACACAATACGTAATCTTGGAAAGTTTACAGAGATTCTCTGCTCTTTTATCTATGAAATTTAAATACCTTGATTGCTCGGATAAATCGTGCTTGCAAGCGTCTTCCCAAAAACAGCAGGTTATCTATAGCTGAAGGAAGAAATTTCTTGTAAAATTCCTCAGGATCTTCTCTTACCTCTAGTCCTACACAACAATGACTGAAATGGGAAAAAGAAAAAAAAGAAGAAAAAAAAATTAACCTGAATAGCCGAGGGCCTGTTTGAACATCTTTGAATGAATTCACGTGATCAGAGGAGAAATGCTTCACTGGCATGGGACAATTCAACACTGAACAACAGTTCAGTGCTGTGACTGGCTCCAAGGTAGCTGCCTCAAAAGGAAGAGGAATCACTGGCAGACTGGAGACAGCAAGGATATTACTACTCATTACAGCATGTCTCTGTTGAAAACATATCCAAGGCACTTTCTCCTTTAGCTTCCCAGAATCTGTTCAGGCTCGTTCCACTTCCTAGGGAAGGGCTCTGATGGTCATAAAATAGAAAGGTAGACACAAACCTGATAAAGGAAACTTCATGAAGAGGGTGCAGATCAGGCAATGAAAATACGTATAAAAAAACACTACTTGCCACAAAATCTTCAGCAAGTCTGTCTGCAACTCTCCTCTAACTGAGAAATACATATGGGCTAGAAATCAGTTCTTCAGATCTCGGTTTTCTTACTTTACTCACCGCAAACATGTCAGTCATTTCTGGAAGACTTTTTACAAGAAACTACGTGTTTTACAACTGGGAAGTTTTTCAATTCTGTACTCACAGAATCACAGAATAGTAGGGGTTGGAAGGGACCTCTGTGGGTCATCTAGTCCAACCCTCAGTCCAACTCTGCAGTGATACCCGTGCAACAAAATAGTCTTCCTAACTTTTCATGAATTTTGCTTTCTGACATCTTACCTAGGCTTTGTTAGCTTTTTGTGAATGCGCACACGCAAAGCTTTGCCTACCAAAGCCCTTGGAAAGTAAATTGTAGGCATGAAACTGAGATTTATCTAGTTACAAAAGAACGTTTTTATACCTAAAATAAATTTCAGTCTTCTCTGCAAACTGAAATAGCTTATAGGGGATGATTTAAGCATCATGCAACTCTGGTGATAAATCGTGCATCTATTAGTTAAATTCCTGGCATTAAAAATTCATACTGCAGATATGGCATAAATAAGAGATGGATGCCTAATTGCTTCATGCCTTAGAATTTTGCTCCCTAGTTAAGACAAAATCAAGTACAACTTGGGGAAAATTTAAAGCTTGTTATTTTTCCTGACACTGAAGATTGAGATTGGATCACTGGGGATTTGAGTTTAAAGTTGTCTTATTTACAAGCTGTGAATTAAACTTCATTATGCCACTCTCACAATATCACTACATCAAGCTATCTAGTCTGTATGAACTGTGTCCTCTATTATATTTAAAATGTAAATAGATATTTTTAAATGTGTATATTAAATAGATATTTGAATAGTCAAAGCCAAGCTGTGGGTCAATCAGGCTGAAGATTTTTACAAGATGAAATCTAAGTAAACAAGCTTTCTAAAGTAATTGCAATTCAAAATTCGCAATTACTGAGGAAGAACTGTGACACTGATGGGTACTGTTCACAAAAAAAGGTAAAGCCAACACAAAAACTGCTCCCACCAAACAGTTTACCCAGCCCAATGAAACACAATGCGAATGAATTAAACAGGACCAATTAGGCTATGCCTGACCCCTCTGCTCTTGCCTGCTCCCTGCACTTTAACCCCGGCCCTTCCTGAACAACAAGCCTTGTTCTGGATGGAAGCCAATGTATTACAGCTTGAAAAGAAAAAGAGCAAGATGAAAGCCTAGAAAAAAAACTTCTCAGCAATTTTTTTTTACCTTAGTATCTCTGCTAGCTGGGCTGCAATAGCCCAGCCTCCACGCAGTCGGGAGTGGTCTTGTCTGAGGACCAGCATGCAGTACTGAGTAAGATCATAATCGTATATGTCTTGCTTAATTTTTTTGGATTCTTCACACCCCAAGGAAACACTATTTAAAATTTCTGTGGGAAGAAAGCATGTGAGAGACAGAAAGCAGCATAAGATTCTGATGTAAAAGATTTTTGATTTTTTTTTTCTTTTTCCAAAACTTTAGCAGGGTGTGTGCACACAGAGCCAGGATTAAGGCAATTCTAAAAGTGCTAACAGCAGCATAAAACATTTTGTCAGCATTTTTCACTCCTACAGCTAGAATCAATTTGTGAGATTATACGACAATCGGGAAGGGTAGCGAAGGTGACGCTTCCATTTTCCGATCACACATTTAGTAGTAAAACACACGTTACTTGGCCCATTTGTATTAATTTCCTAGGCCAGATAAAACCACAGCCACTGTGAAACACACAGCTTCCTTATAATTACGTCCCAATTTAGAACAGGACCCGACTTGTTCCTGCCGCTTCTACGAGCGGTGGCTCTGCGGCAGAAGGGAAGACGGGGGGGTCACACAGGAGCTCGCGATTGCGCTTTCAGCTGAAGAGCTCAGCAGCCAACGCTGACAGCCCTTCCAGCTCTCTGCCCAAAAGCACTGGGAGAAATGATCTGACCAAGCGCAAAGCTCCCTGCCCACATCAGCAGGGCTCCTACAGACAGGGTGCAGCTGGGAGGGCCAGAAGACCTCCTCTCCATTTGCCGCCCCGCTCCTCCTCCTCCCCTCTGCCAAGCCAAACGCCACTTGATACGGCTTTTCCCGAGAGGGCGTTATCAGCCTTACGGAGCTTCCAGCCCCGCCCGGCGTTCTCGGAAAAGCCTCCTGCGTCTAAGGAGGCGGAAGGCAGGATGAGTGTCCGTGCTTCGCCACCTCATCCTTTTTCGCTTCAGAGACGGCGTTCATTACCCTTCAGCTTCAGCAGCAGC